GGGTTGCCGGACTCCCAGCTCCTTCCTGCTCCGGTCCTGGGTCTTCAGCCACTGACCCGCGGTGTCTCCTCAGGCCGCCGACTCGAAGCGCGAGCAGTTCCGGAGGTACTTGGAGAAGTCAGGGGTGCTGGACACGCTGACCAAGGGTGAGCCTGGGCTAGCACAGGGTTCCTCCTGCTCCTCGGGGCTGCGCCCTAGCGGGCCGCGCGTGGGAAAGGAGGGGAACAGGTGGGACGGGTCCCGTGTGCAGCGAGGCGGGCCTTGGGTTCGGCGTGGACCCGGGCACGCTGGCTGGCGGGCACCACCCGGCAGGGTAGCCGGCTCACCCTCTCGCTCCCCGCAACGCGCGGGAGTGAAACTCCTGCAGCTGTTGTGAAGTCTCTCCAACTTCCGTTGCTTTGCCTTGAGCAGTCGCAGTGGACGTGTTTGCTGAAGACGTCGAGATCGCAGTCCCTCCCGCCTTAAATTTTTGCAGCCCTCAGAATCTAGTGAGCCTCCTCCCCCTAGGCGATTCTTAGTAAATGTCTGGCATTCCACGCCCCCCTGCGTTTCTTAGTCTATAATTCTTTGTGTAGATTTCATAAAGTAGGATTACAGTTGTAAAGAGTTTAAGGGCACATCAATATGGCTGTACTGTTTACATTTTTTAAAATGAAAGTTTGTTACTCTGTATCCCTTCCTTTTGGGGGTGCTTGAACGTGATTCCTAGCTTAGCAATCATATGAATGCTGTCTATTTGTCACTTAACTCACTGGCTTGAATTTCCAAGGGTGTAGAATGGAACTGCTACAGGGCCGGGATGAGGACCTCCTGGAATAGGAATTGTACGGTAAATTGGGTAACTGCTCCTTGGGCAGGGGCAAAGGTTAGCAGAAACTTAAAAGGATAACTCCTGGGTCTTAGCAGAAGGCAGGGCTTTTACTTTTCATGCATAGGCTGGTAATTTGGTACTACTTTTAAATACTGGTTTAGATACTTGTTTCCTTATGTCACTGCAAATAAATTTCAGCAAGTAGTAAGGGACTACGGCTCCGTGTTATGTTGCTTCTAGAAGTATTGCAGATGCTTGGAATGTCATCCCTGGGGGGGGGGGGAGAAAAAACAACCCACAAGTTCATTTCTTTCATTTATTTAATTTTTATTCAGGTCTCTGTTCTAGACACTAGAGATACAGTACTGGGGGAAGAAAGGCTACTCACATGAGTTTATATCCTAGTTGGGAGACATAATAAATAAATGGGTAGTGGCAGCTAGTGGTGTTATCAATAAAAACAGCAAAGTTAGGGGATAAAGAGTGATGGCTGGAATGTGTGTTTATATAAGGTGGCGAAGGCCTTTTTTTGGAGAGGTTTTTGCTATAGGGTGCGTGCGCTCGCCAGACAGACAGAAAGAGACATAGAGACAGAAAGCAAGAAATCACCCCCCGGGGGATGGTCACGCCGCAATCCCTTCTCCGCTTGGGATCTTGGGCACACACGCACCCGCGCCTGGCATGAGTTTTAAGCCACCGGGTCCGGGATGCGAACCACGGTTAACTACGTGGGAGTCCAGCGACATAGCCATTACACTAACTGCTGGTTCCCCCAGGCCTTTGTTGCTTTCTTTTTTTTGGGAGAGGTTTTTGCTATAGGGTGCGTGCGCTCGCCAGACAGACAGAGAGAGACAGAGAGACAGAAAGCGAGAAATCACCCCCCAGGAGGGATGGCCACGCCGCAATCCCTTCTGCTCCATTCTCCTCTCGGGATCTTGGACACGCACGCACACGTGCCCGGCGTGAGTTTTAAGCCACCAGGTCTGGGACACGAACCGCGGTTGACTATGTGGGAATCCAGCGACATAGCCATTACGCTAACCGCTGGTTCTCAGGCCTTTGTTTTTTAAGAGAGATTTTTGCTATAGGGTGCATGCCCTATGGAGAGACAGACAGAAAGTGAGAAATTACCCCCCAGGGTGGATGGCCATGCTGCCATCCCTTCTCCATTCTCCTCTCAGAATCATTCTTAAGTAATATCTGGGACCAGCAGGTGGCATAATAGTTACGTTGTTGCTGTACTCCCACCTAGTTTACCACAGTTTAAGTCCTGGAGCTGGTGGCTTAAAACTCATGCCAGGCTTGTGCCTTTGTGCCTAAGATCTCAAGAGGACAGTGGAGGAGAAGGGATTGTGGCGTTGCCATTCACCTGGGGTGGGGGGGGTGATTTTTCACTTTCTGTCTCTGTGTCTCTGGTTTGTGCATGCACTCTGTAACAGAAATCTCTCAAAAAAACAAAAAAAAAAACTTGTGAGCAGAGACTTCTTAAGGACCCTGTCATAGTGTATATACATATATGTAGCCACGTAGATTTATCTATATAGATATACATCCGTCATTACTTTTAATATGTTATGGGGCACATGCTACATACGTCATTACTTTTAATATGTTATGGGGCACATGCTCACATGGTGGGGGGGAGAGAAAGTGCGAAAGCAAGCCACCAGATCTTACCCTCAAACCGCAGTTGGCCATGTGGGAGTCCATCACCTTTAACTACCACGCTACCTGCTGGCTGGATGTCACAGAATATGTGAAGAGTTCCAGGAAGTGTAAGGAGCTAGGGTGGTTGGGTGGAGTGTGATAGATAGAATGGTAAAACAAAAAACTTAACAGCATAGGAAGTAACTGACTGCACAGGTGTACAGCCCCGGGGCCATGTGAGGAGTTTCCTTCTTGAGACTGGAAATCCTCAGAGGCATCTTTTCCGTTGCACTCATCTACTGTATTCTAATTTCAATCTCCAATTGTCTCCAGACTCCGAACAGCATCTGACAACTTAATGTAGTATCTATTGATATCATTTAAAATTTGATTTTCAGGGCTGTCAGGTAGCTTAGTGGTTAGAGGTGCTGGACTCCCAGATGGCTGACTGTGGTTTGAGTCATGGATCTGGCAGCTTGCTTTCTCACTTTTTCTCTCTGGCCAAGTTAAAATAAAATAATTTTTTTTTTTTTTGGAGAGGTTTTTGTTACAGGGCGTTTGCGCTTGCCAGAAAGAGACAGAGAGCTAGAAAGCGAGAAATCACCCCCTGGGGGGATGGCCATGCCCTCTTCTCAGGATCCTGGGCATGCATGCATACACGCCCAGCATGAGTTTAAGCCACGGGGTCTGGGACTCGAACTGCGGTCGACTACATGGGAGTTCAGTGACAGCCATTATGCTAACTGCTGGTCCCCCAAAATAATTATTTTTCAGCTTCAAGCATGAGTACTTAACCCCCCTCTTTTTATTTTTATTTTGAAAGGTTTTTGCTACAGGGCACGTGCGCTTGCCAGAGAGACAGAGAGAAAGTGAGAAATCACCCCCTAGGGGATGGCCACACTGCAATCCCTTCTCCTCCATTCTCCTCTCAGGATCTTGGGCACGCATGTACATGCACCCAGCGTGAGTTTAAGCCACCGGGTCCAGGATTTGAACCGCAGTCGACTACATGGGAGTCCAGTGACATAGCCATTACGCTAACTGTTGGTGTTTCCCCCCCCCTTTTTTTTTTTTTTAAGATTTTTGCTGTAGGGTACTTGTGCTACCAGAAGAGACAGACAGTGAGAAATCACCCCCTTGGGGAATGGCCATACTGCAATCTCCTTTCCTTTCTCCTCTCAGGATTTTGGGTGCACATGTGCCCAGCGTAAGTTTCAAGCTGTCAAGTCTGGGACTTAAACTACAATTGACCACATAGTAGGCCAGTGCCTTAACCACTATACCACCTGCTTGCCTCCACAAATTTAATTTATATACTTTTATCTAGCTTATTTTCAAAAGGATTTTGAAATTGTTTATAATACTAAAACACTTGAAGCAGATGGCTAAAGATAAAGACAAGTTGTTTGAAAGTAGAGACATTTTATTTATTCTGAACACTGTATCCCTAAAACTCTTGGCTACTAGGCAAACAGGACCACAATTGAGTATAGCATTCTTGTCTGATTAAAAGAAAGCCTATGGAGCCAACCCAGGGTCTGGTGGTTGGGGTGGCTGGTTTCCATATTGCTGACTGCAGGGTTTGAGTTCCAGACCCAGTGGCTTGAAAAGCATGCCAGATGTGTGTGTGCATGCCTAAAATCCTGAAAGGAAGGATAAGACAGAGAGAAGGGACTGCCATGTGATTATGCGCTGTAGGGCTGGTGGTCCTTTCTCTCTCCCCCCAGCTAGTGCGGTTCCCTCTGACAAATTAAAAAAAAAAAAGTTCTTTCATCCAAGAAAAAAACAGGAAGACCATTTAAATTATGCTCTGCACCCAGTGCCTGGTATGGAGCCAGGCACACTATTTTATAATAAATATCTGCAGAATGAATATAGGAAAAAACTTATGTTCTGCAATTATATCCTCATAAATACCGCTGACAGAAATTAGAAGCTGAAAGGGTGGGGGTAAGAGGCGGAAGAGGTATTCTTATCTGCAGGGATCAGGGGAAGTTAATACATAATTTTAAAGAGAACGTAATAGAGGGATTAGAGTGCTGTAACATTTGAGGGGGGAGGGGGTAGTGGTGATGGAATTGTACCGGTTCGGCCCAGCAGCGATGGGGCAGGCAGCTGGGTGCTGCTGCTTGGTACCGAAGTTGTATGAAAGACTTGCATTTGGGTCCCAGGTTGATCGAACACGCCAGGTGTGCCACACGTGCCTGTGATTCTGGCTCACTGAGAGGCTGCGGGGGAGGACTGCAGTGTGGTGAGACCTTTTTGAAGTTCTTTCTCTCAAGAAATAAACAGCAAAATCCCAATTTTTCAAAAAATGGTGCTGTCAATAGAGGGATGAAGAGTAAATATCAGGACTCAATTTGTTACAAGTCCATTTTTTCCTTAATACTGTCTATATTATTTTGATGTTATTAAAGCTCTTAGGAATCAAAGGGGAAGCTTATAGGTTGGTTTACAAAAGGGTTTCTAACTGTAGAGTCTACGTATGCACTTACATGGTTGATCATGTGGGAGTCCAGTGCCTTAACCACTATGCCACCTGCTGGTCTCATATGCATGCATGTGCATGTGTGTATTTAGAGGTTTTTGCCTTAGGGTGTGTGAATTCGCTGGAAAGACAGAGACAGTGAGAGGGAAAGTGAAAAATCATCCCCAAGGGGGAATTGCTATGCTGCAGTCCCTTCTCTATTCTCTTCCTGGGATTTTGGATATTCACACACACGTGCCGGCGTGTTTCAAGCCACTGGGTCTGGGACTAGAACTACAGTTGGCCATGTGGGAGTCCAGTGATATAACTGCTATGCCATCTGCTGGCCCCAATATGCACTTTTTTTGGTGCAAGTAGTACTTTTTACTTTTTTTTTTAAGTAATTACTTACTTAATTTTATTTATTCATTCATTCATTTTATTTTGTTTTGACCAGAGCCAAACACAGAGAGCGAGAGAGAAAGTGAGAAAGCAAGCCACCAGGTCAGGGACTCAAACCATGGTTGGCCATGTGGGAGTGTCCAGTGCCTTAACCACCACGCCACCTGCTGATCCCCAGTACTTTTTACTTTTATCAAAAATTTCAAAGGATTCCATGCACTAGATGTTAGTAACTACTGTTTAGAGAGATTTTTATCTGAGTAGTCAATTTTATGAAGATTTTGTTCAAGAGAAGATGAACGAGGTAGTGCTCACAGGTAGTGTAGAAACCACTAAATATTGGGTCATGGGAAAGTCATGCTGCATTTTTGCATAGAAAAACACATCATGGCTTTTCCAGTGGCCCAGTATAGCTTAATGTTGATCTGAGCATGTTGATGACCGGTCAAGCTTTTGGTCACTGGTTATTTAGCATACTGTGTATGAAGGTTCATTCTTATTTTTTAATCTGACCAGAGGGACAGAGTGAGAGAGAGAGAGAGAGGGAAAGTGAGGAAGCAAGCTGCCAGGTCCAGGACTTGAACTAGGGTTGACCATGTAGGAGTCCAGCCTTCTTAACAACCATACCACCTGCAGGCCCCTGAAACTTCATTCCTTTTTTTTTTTTTTAAACCCACCACCTTTCTTACTGTTTTTAATGGCATTTAGTCTCATCAGCATGTTTATAAAAGAATTTAAGACTAGTTGACAATTCAGTCTTATCCTGGGTTTTCTTTAAAAACTAAGAATAGAAGAACTAGTTAAGAGTTCACAAAGAATGTTGCCAAATGATAGCTTGACTGTAAACTCAAAAGGTACACGACATCAGCCCTATGAACAGCAAACGCGAATGTAACTTATTGAAGCCTGTTGGCTCACATTTTTAAAAAGCACCCTCATTTCTTTAAGTACTATAAATGGTTCTTTTTTTTTTGGAGAGGTTTTTGCTACAGGGCGTGTGCACTTGCCAGACAGACAGAGAGAGACAGAGAGACAGAAAGCTAGAAATCACCTCCCAGGGAGGATGGCCACGCCGCAATCCCTTCTCCTCCATTCTCCTCTCGAGATCTTGGGCACGCACGCACACGCACCCGGCGTGAGTTTTAAGCCACCGGATCTGGGACTCGAACCGCGGTCGACTACAAGGGAGTCCAGTGACATAGCCATTACGCTAACTGCTGGTCCTTAGTACTATAAATGGTTCTTGAAAATCTATTGTGGACATGATCTATTCAGTCCAACTAGGGGATGATTTTATGTGCCCATCTAGTTTGGAGTCTGATTTTTTTTTTTTTTTGAGAGGTTTTTGCTATAGGACGTGTGCGCTCACCAGACAGACAGGGACAGAAAGCAAGAAATCACCCCCCGGGGGATGGCCACGCCGCAATCCCCTCTCCATTCTCCTCTCAGGATCCTGGGCACGCATGCACATGCACCCGGCCTGAGTTTAAGCCACTGGATCCGGGACTTGAACCACGGTTGACTACCTGGGAGTCCAGCGACATAGCCATTATGCTAACTGCTGGTCCCTGGAGCCTGATTTTGAGTTAAAAACCAATGGCATTACCAGCTACTCACAGGCGGTGTACTCAAGGCCTCAGCTGATACAGCAGCCAAAACTCCCGTCATTTTGGTTACCCTGCTTTTTGCTTTCACTTACATGTTTTCTTTCAAAGAAGCCAAAAGTATAAAAGTTCACCAAAATTCTGAAAGTCATAGTTTCTATAGCACCGAATGACAGGAGCTTTGGCATCTGATATTGCAAAGTCACTTTCATCACAAATACTTTCTTGATTCTGGGTCAAGGCGAGGTAAAACGGGAAGAATAAGATTCCCAAATGCAGAGCCTTGAGTAATGAAGCATCCGGATGAATGTGCATGAACACGCTGCAGCGCTGCCTTCTGCTGGGCGGCGATATGCTGCTGCTCAGCGTGGTCCCGCAAGTCCTTATTCAGAGCCGGTCTCCACAGCGCGATGCTAGCTCCAGGATGATTTGTTGAAGATTGATTCTGCATACATAATTTTCTTTTCTCTTTGTCCAATTCTGCCAAGATTGCAACTCTGTTTTTGTTCTGAAAACCTAGTCCTGAAGAATTTGCTGCCATCTTCCTATTCTGGCAAGTGGTCAGCACTTTGCAATCACCGTGGAGGCGAGGCCGCTAGAACTGCCGAGCGGGCCCGTCTCGGCTCTCCAGTGAAACTTCATTCTTGAAGAACATTTAAGAATGTTTTGAATTCAAAATTCTTCTAGTAATGACCACAGGCCTGTTGGTACTCTCAATTTTTCTCCCATTTCTTTCTTCACCCACTGGATTATCACCTCTGCCTCTTAACTGTTCTTCCTGCCTTTATCTTTGTTCCATTCTAGTGAATCTTCCACACAGCAGTCAAGAGTGATCCTGTCACTTCTCTGCCTAAAACGTGTAGTTCCGTACCTCCTGTTCTTAGGACCAAAGTCCTTTGGAACTTGCATGCCCCTTCCCAGTCCAGCCTTTGACAACCTTCCCAGCTTATTTTCCTGCTGCCTCTCTCAATGCTGTCTTGCGTTCTCATCTCCTCTAGGTTCTTTTGCCTCCAGACCTTCCCATTTAATCTGAAACTCTCAGGCCTACGTCTTTCCCTTCCTTTAGGAAGCCTGCGCTAACGCCTTTGGCTGAGTGAGGCTTTTTCCCGGTGTGCTCCCCATAACCTGTTACCTAGCACTGCTGCTCAGTATTCTTTTTTGATCAGTTCCTTGCTTACCTTTTGCTCCAGACTGTAAAATCGTGGGGAGCAGGGAACTTACCATCTTCTGGACAGTCTTAGCAACGTGGTTGGCATACAGGAGGCACTTAGTAATTGGGCTATGGAATATAATGTCACCATTCAAATTTAAGAATTTAATCGCTGCTGTTTCTGCTTTTTGATTTGCAGTGTTGGTAGCCTTGTATGAAGAACCAGAGAAACCTAATAGCGCTTTGGAGTATCCTTTTCAGCTCAAGTCAGAAAAAGGCCTTGTTTTCGAAACTCTTACTTTTTCACATAGATTATAACCTTGAGAATACCTTTGCTTACTGAAAACTTTCCTTTTAGTTTCTGGATAATGATCTCTGGGTTAAATATTGGTGGTAGGGTGGATGACTGGCTAGGAATATTGATACTACTCTGGGCTATTTCATTAGTTTCATTCAGCTCTAAGAAGTAAATTCTTAACATTGATAATAGTTTTTTAAAGCATCACTTAGGAGCTGCTACCCCAGAAAATCCAGAAATAGAGCTGCTTCGCCTAGAATTGGCAGAAATGAAAGAGAAATATGAAGCCATTGTAGAAGAAAATAAAAAACTGAAAGCAAAGGTAAATTTTTAAAAAGAACTTGTGTTAAAATTAATTTCATCTGTCATGATTATATGGTCAAATCCTCATTACTATGGACAGCAGAGGAGGGAAGAGGTGAGTACCAGTTTGAATTAATTAAGGCTAAACTTATGCCCCATTAGGAAACAAGACAAACTATAAACAGGATAAGCAAAGTGTGGTCAAGAAGAGATTCCTTAGAACCTGTGTCAATGAAAACCTGAGCGCACTGGCTGCATATAAGTAAATGAATAGTTCTGATTAAGCACTTAATTTAAATAGGTCAACGCAGGGCCACTGCTTTTGTGATTGGCACTTAGAGTTGTGTAGTGCCCAGTGTGCACGTCCTGTGTTGGCCCTGGCTTAATAAGTTTATCTAAGTATGTGTAAAAAGTAAACTAAACTTAAAATACCAATTTCTCGAAAAATAATGCTGTTAAGTTAGAGAAGTGAAGGGTAACTGTCAGAACTCAATGGAAAAGGAGTTGCCTGTTTGATATTTTTAATACCATCTCTATATTTTGTTGTTTTTAAAACTCTGAAAAACAAGGGGCCAGCAGGTGGTGTAGTGGTTAAGACACTGGATTCACACATGATTGAGTGGTTTGAATCCTGTACTCAGTAGCTTGAAAATCACACTGGGCATGTGTGCATGTGTGAGGAGAATGGAAGAGAAAGGCACTGTGGCGTGGCCATCCCCCTTAGGGGGTGATTTCTTACCTTCCCTTGCTCTCTCTCTGGAGAGTGCACACGCCCAATCACAAAAACCTGAAAAACCAAAAACTAAAAAACAGCAAGTTGGGGGGCCAGCAGGTGGCGTGGTGGCTAAGGGGCTGGACTTTCACATGGCTGACTGTGGTTCGAGGCCTGAACCTAGCAGCTTGCTTTCTCACTTTCCCTTTCTTTCTCTTTCTGTCTCTGGTCAAATTAAAAAAAAAAAAATAGTAACAAGTGGAATAAAGAAATGATTTTTAAAAACTCCAGCAAGTTGGTTTACAATATGACTTTTTTTTAAAGAGAATTTTTGTGATAGGGTGTGTGTGCTTGCCAGAGAGACAAAGTAAGAAATCACCCCCTAGGGGGGGATGGCTGTACTGCAGTCCATTCTCCTCCATTCTTCTCTCAGGATCTTGGGTAGGCATGTACACATGCCTGGCATGAATTTTAAGTTGCCACACCTGGTACTTGAACCATGGTTGACTATGTGGGAGTCCAGTGATGTCACCATTATGCCATCTGCTGGTCCCCAACAGGACTTTTTGATGTGGGGTTGAAATATGCACTCTTTTTGTGTGTGTAAATAAATTATAAAGTAAATTATTAGTAATTTATTTTACATAATCCTGTTTATTCTACTGTGAAAATTTTCACAAACTTCAAATGAACTCTGAAGTCTGAGGTTTTACCATAGTCCAAGTCACGTAATGCATTTTATGTTGCTTCAGTATTTCTCATGTTCTATTTTCTTAGCATCTTTGGGAGATAGTAAAACACATATATAGGCTATTTTATAGGTGAGGAAATTAAAGTGCAGTTATGTTTAATAAACTACTCAAGAAACTGTCAGCAGATAGAAACCCAAATCTCACTTCAGTGTTCATGCAAGGCAAACCACAACTCAGGAATCACAACTCAGCATTAAGGGAAATGCAGTATCTTAGCAATGCTGCAATGCTAGCTAATTCTTTGGCACTTTTTTTTTTTTAGAATTATTTAATTTTATATATTCATTTATTTTAATTTGACCAAAGAGAGAGAGACAAAGAGAGAGAGGGAAAGTGAGAGAGCAAGCTACCAGATCTAGGACTCAAACTGTGGTCGGCCATGTGGGGGTCTCTAGCACCTTAGCCACTATGCCACCTACTGGTCTCCTCTTTGGCACCTTTTAAATCAAAGACATTACTCTTCATTGACTGGCAAGATTTATTACATACCCCATAAGTCTCCTACTATACTATTTATGGGAAATTTCAGTAAACTTGTGGTAGAGAGGAAGAAGGCATATAATAAGTCACAGCATCTTTGGGAAGGTAATTGCTTATCAGGTTAACCTCAACTGTCAGTCATGAATTGGGATTAAATGTTCATTTCTGAGTAATTTGTTTTTTATTTTTACTTTCTGAGTTTTTTTTTTCTTTTTTGCTATAGGGTGTGTGCACTTGCCAGAAAGACAGACAGAGAAACAGAACGTGAGAAATCACTCCCGGGGGGGATGGCCACCGTGCAGTCCCTGCTCCTCCATTCTCCTCTCGGGATTTTGGGCATACACGCCTGTCACGAGTTTAAGCCACCAGGTCCAGGAGACTACATGGGAGTCCAGCGACATAGCCATTACGCCAACTGCTGTTCCCTTCCATTTCTGAGTAATTTAAAAGGTTTATACAAAATGGGTTTTCATTAGGTTTGATTATTAAGTTTTAAAATTATTGAAAGGTTTAAAAAAGATAGAAACTGATAATAATACAGACTTACTGATTCAATAACTACTTCAATAACTACATCAAACATAATATTGAACTTGTTTTGTTACTGAAGTTTTTACCCAATTTAGAGTGAGATTTACCTAAACTCCTCTGTCTTTGCCCCATAGCTTGCTCAGTACGAACCACCTCAGGAGGAGAAGCGTGCTGAATAGGATCCTTCTCAGTTGAGAAGACACTGAAAAATGGTTTTGTATGACTTGAATAGTTTGTATAGTGTATAATCTTTTCTGAGCAGATGCTATAGACCTCTTTTAATATGTTAAATTCACCTATCACACTTCAGCTGTTATAAACACAAATACTTAGAATCACCAATAAAAACTGAATGTAATTTTCTTTGGGTCTTAAAGCAGGAGAATCCAAAGTAAATCTTGGGGGGAAAAAAATCTCAAACACAGCTATCTAATTCATGACCTTGAAAGACATTCTGTTGACTAGTCTGATTAGAAATAATGGTACTGGTTGTCTTTTCACCAGGGAAGTTCAGCATGGAGCTGTTCCTTGCTTTGGTTCAGGATATGTGCACAGGGACAGTCATTCTTTAAAATGAAGATGGCTCTGTTTTTTATATCCCTTGTAGGCAGCCAGAGAGATCTGTGTGACATAAGATGCTTTTGCACGGTGTATCTTCTGCTCTTGTTTATATAATATGGAACAAATAACTCTTCTTTGCCACCACTTTGCCTTAGATAACGGTGCGTGTGGAGTCTGAGCTCTGACGCCACCTTTTCCTTCTATGCAATCATGCCCTATCTGATGTTGCCTTGCTTTGTTCTGGGCTTCAGTGGGTTCTAGCTGCACACTGGCCTTGCCGAGTTCTTCTTTTTCTTTTCTTTCTTTTTTTTTAAAGATCTAACTAATTAATTTATCACTAGAGAGAGACGAGAATGAGAGAGAGACACAGGGAAAGTGAGAAAGCAAGCCACCAGGTTTGGGACTTGAACTGTGGTCGATCATGTGGGAGTCCAGCATCTTAACCACCACACTATCTGCTGGCCCCTTTGCTGAATTTTTCAATTTGCTTAATAACAGCACTTAGCCTGATTTAACTCACATAACCTGACACAAGATCACACTGTTCTCTTGCCTTACTTAGTTGCTTAGTTAAGCACAGAACAGGCAATCTAAGATTCTGGGTTCATGCACAAGCTGGGAAGTAAAGGGGAATGAGCCATATATCATAGAAAATGGTAGTTTATGGGTATAATTATTATATATAGTGCTTTATTCCCGCCAAGTATTTTTCTAGCCTTGAATTAATTTTTATCTTCATTATCCCTGGGAAGTAGGTAGGGCAAATAAGAGGGGAAGTTGGATGCTGAATTTTGAGGCCAAAGACTGATCTTAACACACATTATTTACTAACTGTAGAACCTTGGCACATGAGTCAACTGCTCTGAGATTCACGTTCCTCATCTGTGAAATGAGACTGTCTGCTGCCTACCTCACAGGGTTGTTGTGAGGGTCAAATGAGCATGTATGTGAAAGATCTGTACATGGTAAAGCATGATATTCTCGTTTGTTAGTCTTTTTCCATTCTTTTGGAAGATCTGCAGTCAATGTTTTATTTTACCGGTCACTTACTTTTCTCATTGATAGACATTTTAAAGGAGTGTCCTTGGTTCACCTGTTCTGTCCCTATCATTAGAGAACCCGTGTCAATTTTTTGATCAAAACACACAGAAAACAAAATGATCCAATGAAAGCTGGTTAAACTAGCAAAAGCCTGGCACCTGCTGGAGGCTGTGACTAAGCCAACTAACTGCAAGGGCATTTTAGTCACGTTGGCAGGGGTGTGGCATAGTTTGTGCCTCTTCTGGTCACAAGGTAGATTTGGAGGGGGGCCCATTACTACTGGAAGAACATTCACTCGGATAGATTTCTCTTTGACCAAATTACTCAATCTGCCTCCTCCATGGACAGCAGCGGGCTAAGTGCTGGGTGCAGTAAAGAATAATCAGTGACAATGTGCACATGAAGTGCGTTAGATGAAGAGTAAACACGGCCCCAGGAGGGTGCTGGAAGAGAAGGGCTTGGCTTCTTTAAGCAGTTGATACTGACAGTTCTTTTGTGAATGTAGGTAAGTAGATTTTTTTTTTTGCACAGCTGACCCTTATTTCCTTCATTCTTATGGGAAGAATATTAATATTTATGTCAGCAAGTCAGGTAGTTATTGCCTGCACTGTCCTGGTCAGAATGGCAACATGTGGTTGGATACTGACACTTAAGTGGAACTGACCTATTTAAACTTCTGTGCTATTTGCAGTACTGAGAGGCCAGGATCAGCCTGGCCTCTGGAGGCCCTCTTCACCATTTGACTCTAGGATCTGGGTGAAGACTGTATACAAAAATGGATCCTATCAGTTCAGTCCTCCTATGTCGCTTTATGAAATACTGATTTCACATCTTGCCTACTTTATAGGGTTGTTGTCAGGATCAAATTAAATATAATGGATGTAAAAGTGCCTCACAGGGCCGGCAGGTGGTGTGGTGGTTACATGGCTGACTGGTTCGCGTCCCAGGTCTGGTGGCTTTCTCTCTCTCTTGCTCTGTCCCTCTCTGGTCAAATTAAAATAAATAAAGTAATATTTTTTTAAAAGTGCTTCTCAAAACTCCTTAGAAATAAAAGGTAGAAATCTGTAAGTGCCACCGTCCTGGAAGAGCTAACTGGTAGACCATATTGAAACAAGCTTTCAAATGACTAACCACCTGGAGTACTCACACTGCCTGACCTAAACCAAAAAGCTGAAATACCAACTCTTGTACTTAAAAAGTGCATTTATGGGGACCAGCAGTTAGCGTAATGGCTACGTCACTGGACTCACATGTAGCCGACGGGGTTCGAGTCCCGGACCCGGTGGCTTAAACTCACGCCCGGTGCGTGTCTGTGTGTGCCCAAGATCCTGAGAAGAGAATGGAGGAGAAGGGACTGTGGCGTGGCCATCCCTCTTGTGGGTTGATTTCTTGCTCTCTGTCTCTCTTTCTGGTGAGTGCACGCGTCCTATTGCAAAAACCTCTCCAAAAAAAAGAAAATGTGCATTTATGCAAGTTCAGGTATTAGTATTGCTGCCAGAGTACTAGTTCCAGTGATTATCAATGGGAGCTATTTATACTCTATGGATACTTAAAATTATTCCATTCTGGGGAACCAGCAGTTAGTGTAATGGCTATGTCGCTGGACTCCCATGTAGTCGACCGCAGTTCGCGTCCTGGACCCGGTGGCTTAAAACTCAGGCTGGGCGCGTGTGCGCCCAGGATGCCAAGGGGAGAATGGAGGAGAAGGGATTGCAGCATGACCATCCCCCCTGGGGGGTCATTTCTCGCTTTCTGTCTCTATGTCTCTGTCTGTCTGGCGAGCGCATGCGCCCTATAGAAAAAACCTCTCTTAAAAAAAAAATTATTCCATTCTGGAAAGCATTAGTAGATTTTTTTTCTTTCAGTTTTTGCTATAGGGCTCCTGTGCTTGCTGGAGAGAGAAGGAACATTAGCGGGGTATGGACAAGCTGAAAACCTTTCTTCTCCATTGTGCCTCTCAGGATTTAGGGCATGTGTGCACAGACATGAACAGTTGGCCATTGGGATCTAGCCGCCTTAACCTCCCTGCCTCCTGCTCACTGCTAGCACAATTAATAGGAGTGTTGTCTAGGTGCTAAATAGTTGCTTAATCTACTCCATAGGTGCCAGGTATTTGATGGAGACTGACCTGCCTGAATGCATACAAGGGACAGTCACATTAGGAAGTGGGAATTTGAAAATGTAAGGGAGTGCTGCCTAGTGTGGTAGCTATTAGCCATGTGGCAATGAGAACAAAATGGTAAAAATTACGTTCCTCAGTCACACTAGCAACATTTCAGTACATAACCAAGTGAGTGACTACCATGTTGAACAGCGTAGATGTAAAACATTTCTTTTTAAGAGAGGTTTTTGCTACAGGGTGTGTGCCCTTGCCGGAGAGACGGAGACAGACAAAGTGAGAAGTCACCCCCCCAGGGGGATGGCCATGCTCACAGTCCCTTCTCCATTCTCCTCTTGGGATTTTGGGCACACACATATGCACATATGCCAGGTGTGTGTTTCAAGCCACTGGGTCTGGGACTCAAACAGCTGTTAACCATGAGAGAGTCCAGCAACGTAACCATTATGCCACCTGCTGGTCCTAATATAAATTATCTGTCATCACAGAAGAGTATGTTGAACAGCACCTATCGAATGCACGAGGATAATTAGCGTGGAAGAGAAAAGACTTAGTGTTACCCAAGACCATTCCTGTTTTGTTCCATTACAGGCTTCAGGAAGTGTGATTTTTGGCCTGAATCAGAAACTTAAAAAAAATATTTGTTACAGGGCACCTACGTGCAATTGCTGGATGGGGGTTAGGGGGGAACCACGTCCCCTCAGGATTTGGGGTACACATGCACCCAGCATCTTTCAAACTGCTTGATCTGGGCTCACACCATGCAGTTGACCATGTGGGATCAGCCACCTTAGCCACCACTCCACCTGGCTGGCTTGAATCAGAAACTTTCAAACACAGCTTTGTCACAATGGAATTGGTTGCCCTTTGAGATAGCTTTCCTCCTTGGAAAGTGTTTAAGTCCATTCTGCTCCTCTATCACTGACAGTTGATTCTGGTGAGAGGTTGGCTAGATGACCTCTACGGTTGGTGCTCTGCCTTTAACTTCTAGGCTCAGACATGACCAACTCCCAGATCTTTAAGAGCCAGCTTTCCCTCCATAAGTCGGTCTCCTCGAAAGACCAGGGCCACCATCACCTCACCCTTTCTAAAATGCACGGGGCTGCTTTGAGGGTATTCTCTTGGCGATTTCCAGTTTTAGAGTCTGATTGTCAAAGGTGGAAATTCCTTCTCAAACATAATTGGTGACAAGCATTTGCTTTGGTTTGCTTTCATTCATTTCTTTGGTCTCTTAATCTAAAGGAGGTCATAGAAGACGGAATATTCTGTTGGGGAGGGGGTGCAATTACTGGAGCAGTAGATGTCGGGAAGGAGGGAAAATTGAGTTCGGCTGAGTTTAAAGTGGCAGCAATAACCCACCATCAAATTTGCTGAAGATGATCATCTAGGTCGGATGCACTGGCTTTCCTACCAGGTCCAGCTACTTGCTAGAACAATTGATCACACGGCTCCATGACTTGCTGCGGTTGAGACTCTGGCCTCAGTCTGGCACATCCCAGCGTTTAGATGTCCTTCCATCTAGACCTGCGTGGTAGCCATCCTCATTCTCCCTACTCCCGAGCATTGTCATCTGTGCGCCTAATCTCCCCATAGATATCTCGTACCGAGGCTACTTACGCAGTTCATCGTCAAGTAACTTGACGGCAGGCAGTGTCCGGGTCGGTTCCAGTTTTGTGCTCTTTGGTTGGTGGCCAGGACACCGCCGACAGCAAAGAGCTGTTGGGCGAGTACAACAGGACAATCACTTCTTCCCCGGAATGCGCAGAGCATCTCCCGCTGCGGGGCGGCAGTCCGGAGCTGGAAGGAGGCGGGGAGCGCGGAGGGCGGCGCGCGCTGGGTAGGGCGAGGTGCGTGCGGCTGGGGCGGAGGGCAGAAGGCCGGGGACCGGCGAGAGGCGCGGCCGGGCAGCTCCTCGTGACTCCTCCTCCCCCTCCGCGGCCGCGAGTCAGGTGATTCCGGGCACGTGACGGGGCACCACCTACC